ACGCAACGCCGTTTGGGTGAAGGCTGTTTGCGTCGCGTGAGTGCGCATTTGACACCGCTTGGGTGAGGATCGTGCAGCTCAGGTTGACAACGAGTTATTTCGCTTACCATTGTGAGGTGTGAGCATCTCGTCATGTCTTGGAGCAACGGTGAGTTTAAAAAACCCTTATTTAAGACACCGTCTCGTTATGTGTGGAGGGTGTGTGCGCAGCCGCTGTGAGTCCATCCGAGCTTACAGACTGGCTAGAAACAGACACTTGATCACTGAATGATGTTTTATTCAACATTTGTGTCATATTTACACACACCCTCTGCAGACCATCATTCTGAATCTTTTCCCCCATGAGCTCTGGGATTCGTTGGCCCAGGGCGCCGTCTGCTGGGGATCTCTGGGACAAACGTTGGACACTCTGTTGCCGGGATGAAGAGGGCCGGACGGGCTGAAGCTCAGCGAGACGGCCGTGGAACCGTCTTGCCACCGGCTCATTTCGTGTGGAAGGTGTGAGAGAGAGCCACTGTCAGATCACCTGAGCTGACAAACTGGCTAAAAATGGACACTTTTATCATTAAATGATGTTTTACTTCAAACTCGTGTCACCTACACACATTCTCTGCCACAACCGTCAATTGCTCTGCCATTTGTTGTCCTAGAGCGTGATCTGTTGGCAATCTCAGGGAAACGCTGAAAAACTCCGTCCTCCGGCTGCGATGCGGGCCGGCAAACAGCAAAGACGCGCACCAGTTGGGGGTGACGTCAGCTGCTCTGCAGACGGAGCGTTGTCTCCTCCCACCTCTGAACATGTACACAAACAGTGTAACGTGTTGTTCGCTGCGGCCGTCTGGAACGCATGCTGGTGAGCTCAGTCGAAGATCGTGTCACCATCTGGATTACGCTAACCGGAGGCGCGGGACGCTAGTCCACCTGGACATCTTGCTGCGATAAAGCCTCCGTCAGGCTCGGCTCCAGGGGGCACTGAGGGAAAAACCGCTCGGTGAAAACCCCTCTGCTCTGGTGATGGGCGCGGGCTGTGGGAACCGGGCCCCCAATCTACCAGGAAAACCGTCTGTGGCCTCGTCCCGTAGGACACCCTGTTGGGAAAAACGAGGCCAGATGGGGTCAGGACGGTGAGCCGGAAAAGGAGCCTAGAAAAAGAACCCTCCCGCCGGATCATCCGAACTGGCGGGAAAAGGCGAGGGACGTAAAAAAGGTCCCTTCATGTCAGCCACTCCTGGGTTACGTGGGCAACCCCAGAGGGTGCCGTCAGCCGGGAGCGGTGTGATCGCCGATGCGAAACGAGGTGGGATGAGGTGAGCATTCGCTCAGCCCCCCTCCACCGACACTACGCTCTCCATGAGGGAATGAGCCGCGGGGGGCCGCTGCTGACGCTGCCTGTCCCGGAGGAACCATCCGATTCGCTCCGGGGGTCGGCGATAAGAGGAAAATTACAAGATGGCATTGTCCAGCGTGTAGCAACCTGTCACTGAGAAATACTCCTCGGCGCTTACCTTGAAACAAGATTGCTCGTCAGCTTCTCCTCGGGGAGAGCTCACCGGACGACCGGAGGTCGACTGACGGGCCAAGCATTCTTAGCAAAGGTTGGTCATCTACACAACTTTCCTTCTTCGTTCTTCTGACAGTGCTATTAGCTCGCTGAAGAAAAATGGGAGCCGATTACCCGCTCTTTACGTAATTTATACGGACCGGGTGGGGCCCACACAGCAGGTGGGCATGGACTAAATTTTTTCAGTGTAATGCTTCGCATAACGGGATAAACCGTCAGCAACAGCCTTAAAGGGCGAAGCTTATACGAAATAAAACTCTGAGTTTCTGCATGACTCACGGGACAAAAACACATTTGCTGATCTATCAGGATACAGAAACATACATTTAAGAAGTAAAATCGATTATTTTCTAGCCAATTTTCCGTTGTCCTAAAACACTTGCATACATTGAAATTCTGAAAGTATATGATGAGTTGACAAAAAAGTTACTATTAAAGTGCAGGTTACTGTAGTTTTAAATGACCAAAGAATGATGTTATTTTTTTCTGTGTTCATTACAAGATGTAATGATCTGTGCACATTTTCTATTTTGTACAAAATTTTTGAATGTTTAATTTTTATGTTTTTCTGATATACCTCAAATTAAAACACAGTGCCAACAAGTGACACTATTGTTTACAAGAATTTATTAAAATGTTTGGTCCATTAAAGAGCTCCGATGTTCACTAGTATTATTTGCAGTTTTTTATTGTGATAATATCTTTATACAAATGTTAACTGCATGTGAACACAAATACATGACAAGTATATATTGTATATATTTGGACTTTGTTGTATTCAACGAGTTTGACAAGACTGTCAACAAGGAAGAGGGCCGGCAATGGAGGAGGGGCGAACCAAAGAGACCATCTTATCACAAACAAATCAATCAACCTTTATTTATACAGGTAAATCCCATTGAGCCTCGAGGACTCATTTACAAGAGAGACCTGACAAAACTGGTTTGTTCCACTTTGGAGTAAGCTGTTGGAGGAAGAATCAGTTTTGTTGTGTGTTTCCTTGACTGATTGTCTTCTGGATCGAAGGTGAAACGTTTCAGCACAAAAAAAGAAATTGTCCAGATTACCTGACTGAAAAATGTTGGGTTTTATACCTGGATTATTGACCATGGACTTTGTTGTTTATATCTTGTATACTTAAAAAGCCCCTTTAATTCAATTCAGTTCAATTCAAGTTCAATTCAAAAATACTTTATTAATCCCAAAGGAAAAATATTTGTAATGCAGATGGCCTGTACGGAGTGGAAACTTGGTGGACATATATGCAGTCAGTGCCTCTCTTGCACCGTTTCCACCAACACTGCACTGAAGATTCACTGGCTGGTTAGGCTGAGGGTAGTTGTTTGCACGGTCACGTGCCTCTTCCAACCAGTTGCTGTTGCCATAATCACTCTCCGTGTGGCAAAAGTCGTGGAGTGCACAGCAGGTGGCAATCATTGTTGGAGCAAAGGTGAAATGAAAGTCATTTCTTTTTAGAACTCTCCACTGTGACTTCAGCAACATGAAGGTCATCTCTACGCCCACCCTGACTGAGCTAAGGTAAACATTAAATGACTCTTGTTGAGGAGTCAGACGAGGAGAGTTTGGGTATCCTTTGATGAACCAGTCCAACAGCGGGTATTCAGGGTCACCAACAACGAGGAGACTGACGTCCTTTCCTTCAATGTTCCTCACAGACTGCAAAAAAAGGACATACTAATATTTAGTATTTAGCTTTCTATTTGTTTAAAGGCATGGTTCAAACAAACAACAGTTTTTTTAAATAAAACTTTACAGCTAAGTATCTCTACTTTGAGATACTTAGTTGTAATAGTTGTAGTAATAATAAATATAATATAGTAAATATTAGCCTTACTTTTGGCATTAGATGAGCCCTTTGATAGAGGTCAGAGTGGCGCAGGACATTGGCATCATGGGCACAGCCTGGCATCTTGCAACTGATGCTCCAGAAACTGACGAAAACAGAGGAAGAATAGTAATTAATAATAAATACAGACAGTATCAAGCATAGACAGGTAGAAAAAGAAAGAAAAACAAGTTTATTTAAGCATACAGCGTGTATTTGTCTTACCAGCAGTTGTTGTCCACAACAGCTTGGAGGACATAGGATGGCCAGCCTTTACGGTTAACAAAGTCTTTATATCCATCAGAGGGGGGAAGAACCGGGATGTGTGATCCATCGATGAGACCCATAATATGAGGGATGTGATGGGAAGCCTCAAAAGCTCTGGCGATCTCCAGTGCCTCCATGTCAGTTGGTGCTCGGATCAGCTGTTTAATTGGCCCTCTCACCATGCTTTTACAAAACATGTACACACAATTTTTAACACTGCTCTTACTTATTCCAAATTGATTTGCAATGACTCG